TAAGATAAAGAGTCTTACCAACTGTTGTGAATACTTGACACCCCTGATGTAGGGCCACAGAAATGGCAGCTTGTCCAACACCACCTGATCCAGATTGTATCAGAACACTCTCTCCCTTTCTCAGCTGCCCTCGAACAATCAGTGCATAGTATACAGTCGCATAGACAACAGGAACTGAGGCAGCTTCCTCCATAGTCCATGACTGCGGTATAGCCCAGGTGAAGTCTTTATCAACACTCACTGTGGTTGCTAGAGCTTTAGCAGGTACAAGTCCCATCACACGCTGGCCTGTACTGTTACGACCAGAGAATTCCATTCCCAATACACAATCATGGGAAGCAACATTACCTAAAATTTCAAAACAAGTTATGCATTCGTGAACATTCGTTTGGAGATATGCGACTGTTTCACTGCTAATGAAAAATTCTCAGATGTAAATGAAATCAGGTGCGTATGTGCTTTCAGATTGTATGAAGATCTGATTAGTGTTTGATTGAAATCGCTGCATAAGAACGACGTAGTTTCTCTAAATTCAGAACTTTTCTGACAACTCAATGTACACTTCAGATAAATATATCTCGTATAAGATATTCTTAATTGTTCCTGTATTAGATGTTATTAAGCCCATTACTAAAATAATTACTTATATGGTTTAATAATTACGAGTTTGTTGGGTTTGCTTTGATGACACGTGGGTGAAAATTACACTGTCATGTGAAAAGATATGTTCAGTTGGATCACACCGCAGAAAATGAAAAAACATACTTTTCCAAATACAAATACCTATATAAATAATTGTGCACAATTTGATTATAGTTGTTCACCATACCTGGTAAAGCATCAGGAGGTAGTTTACCAGTGGCTAACATGATGTCCCGGAAATTAAGAGATGCGTAATAAACATTACAAATCTCCTTGCTCTGACCAAGGGATTCTGACGTTGCATATCTCAAAGGTGATGCGATCCATTTCAGTGAACTGAGATCACCACGTGTCAATATGTTAACATATGCGTGTGGTGTCAGGATGGTGCTGGATTGAGTAGAAGTGCTGAATGGCACATGGTGAAATGATCCCCATTTGCCGTCACGGTAAATATTCATCACTAAGTCTTGTTGCATTATCTTTTTCAATGTTTTGTCCCCCAGGTCTAGTAGTTTTGCGTCATTCTCCAGACTAGCATTGAATATACATCTGTGAAGATGTGATAAATTATATTACATTACAACTCATAAACTGTGTTGTGAAACATGACAAACATTAGTTAAGCAACGATTAAAGCATAACTAAAACATTAATATTTCATTTGAGACAATTTATGAATGAGACATATACAGCTACACTGGTTTTAAAATAACTAAAAAAGGGCGCATGTTACCCATATAGGGAATGTGCTTTGTTTACATTTACATTTGTTTCTCTTTAGCAATTCCATTATAATACTACCAATAATAGCCACGACCATCGATGTGTTCCATTGTATAAAAAACTTGGCTGATGTTGTAAATATACAGCTTTAGCCATATATGTGTTAATTTGTAAACCAATACATTACCTATACATAAATGCATAACATCTGTCATCTATGCGTTTATCTGCAAAACACTATCCGACTCACAAATGCACAAATTCGCTAATACACAATGCCCGAGAATGGAACCACACGACGTTTGGTTCAAACTCATAATCAACACCAATCAACATCAGTAGTATACGCAAATGTATATTATTTAGTGACACGTCATGAATATTCAATTGTTGATGAATTTTACTTTGCAAACACATTGTACGTCTTCTACAGGTACAATATACTGTAGTAGCCAATCGCTAGAACAGGTCGGGCATCGTTACATGACGGAATGCATAGATAGCTAAGGTTATAAATTTACAACATAAGACAAGTAGTGCAAAACAAATATTTTGTTCCACTACTAAGGAAAACAAATCAAATCAATAGAATTACCTAATTCTATTTCCACCTGGTTCCTGCTTTAAACAGTTCAACATACCAACAATGCCAGAATCCACGGCACCATTCACCAGCAACCAGATTTTCTCTTTCATAGGCTTCCCTTGATAATTTGAGATTGCCTTGTTCAAAGTATCTACCCATTTAAAGTTAGCACCATTAACTGACAAAATGAAGGACTTCTCATTAAATGAAACACGTTTTCGACATAGAAACAGTGTTGAATGCAAACCATTAGACTTTTGAGAAACAATTTCAAAGTTGGCTGACTCTAAAACTGTCGCCCATTGGTCTTCACTGACAAACATTTCATACTGTTGCTCCAAGTAACAGACATTAGACATATCTTGTGATATGAACTCCAAGACTGCAGGTGCTTTGAATGTTATGGTTCTTTCATGTATCAGAAGAAACCCACCCTCTATCAAAGCCGATGATATGTTACTCAGAGCTGAGGGAATGTTTGACACCCTGGCAAGGCCCTCTGCAATAACAAGATCTAATGAATTGACATCACCGGGTGGTGATTCAGAAAGATCCCATTTTGTCATTGTGACATCAAACTCCTCCCCTTTCAACGACATGATCTCTCCAGATTGATTACTCAAGATATATTTTAGCTGTAGCATTGGTTGTGAAGAATTCAATATTGGAATCACTTTGCTGTACAAGCCACTTCCCCTAACTCCAACTTCTACAATCTTCATCTTCATCCTTGGTGTGTTCTCCATCACCACATCAAGACAATATTTTAGATATCTCCCAGTAGTTAGAATGCTCAGTAACTTATCATTCTCTATCAGATCAGAGTTGAGACGCAATACATCCTGTACGTCTTTAGTGAATGATTCACTTATCTCCAGATTGTAGATTGCATGGATGATTTTGATCAGACCGCACTCTGGATCATTCATGTATTTCTTTACATCGTCAATGACTACCATTCTCGGCTTTGTACTGTTTAACATATTCGGTTGATATTGACACGTTTCCTTGACCTGACATAACAGATCCAGTGCGTACTTTTCACAGACCTGTTGGTAATTCACCAGTTGCAGATGATCGCCCACAATTTGTTTTTCATCATATGGTACAAATATATAACGCCCAAAGTTTGATGGAGTTTGCTGTAGTTGACGTCTTGGAGCCACAGTAGTATGTAGACCATATATCTCTATACCACCAGCAATGCATCTAGCAGTGTGTGTGCCAACTGTCACCTTCACTTCTGTGAATGAAATCGCAAACATTGATTATATATTCCATTAAGTGAGACAAACTTTAAAATGATGTGTGACAACTGACGTATACAGTAATATGTGACTTCATTTTTGATATATTAACAGCTGAGTCAGTAATACTGAGTCATGCTATGAAAGACTAGAACAACAAAGATTGAACTTGGATTCATTATATATCGGTCCAGTCTAATACAACACTTGTACAATGTAGATCAACCACTTTCTGTCCAGTATATCACTGGTTCAATATGTAGTCAATCCAAGCTAGTCCACTATATATCTTGTATATTGTTTGGACAATTCAAGCTAGTCCCATATATCACTTGACGGTATGAATTCGATGTTAGTCCAGTAGATTACTGGTACAAATTAAGCCCATGCTAGTCCAGTAAGACATGGGTACAATAAGTTAAGGCATGCTCGTCTACTAGTATATTTAGTGTGCTTTCTATACATATTTTGAAAACCTTGAACTGAGTTAAAAAAACTCTCATAATGAAATCTATAGCGAGTTATTGATCTATCTCTTTGCCTCATAAGGACAAGGAGTTAATTTGTACAAAACCAACAACTACCGGACATGTAGTAACTCCTGGATCTGTTAAAACATAGCAATTATATATATATGCTTATTTTAGAAAGATGCCACAAGTGATACTGAGTCTTTGTTCAGAGGTTGGCTGTACCTTGAGGCAATCTTTTTGAGTTCCCTAGATGTATAGAGCCTTCTAAAATATTGTTACATGGAAATAGAAAGCCTCTGGTTGGATGATCAAATAATTGTTGTTACTATACATTGCACAGTATCAGCTATTAAGGTTTGGCTGCCGCACCTCACTGCCAAGGAAAGTCCAAACAAAGCCATCATCAAGATGTGTAAATAGTATACCCAGGTGATAGTTGTGATGGCATGCAAAAGTGGCTAACCAAACACGCTTAATTTAGTCTTCGAACAATTCAAAATATTCAGTTTGCTCTATGAAACTTCCAAGGTTGCAACACTGAGGACAGCGTTTTTGTCAATTTCTCTGTTATCACCTCTTGTACTGTTTCTTACATTGTATATTATACATAGGTATGTGTTAAGCAGCACTCAAAATATTCTGGTTGATTAGGTCATCGTAATCCATGACTGCTTTCAAGCAAAACACTGCTATAGCCACCAAAATATTATAGACAAATACAAATTGTTGTCAGGGTGTCCCATATAAACTGGAAAAACCAGTGATCATTTTTCGACCTTCCACTACAATTACAAGCATCCTTGCAGTAATTTGACTGTCCATTTTAACTCTAGTGTACGTCAGAGCCAGCACTAAAGTCACCAGTTCGAACACCACTATCTTCAACAAACACTTCAACTGTGCTTCAGGCACATTCTAGCCAAGCTAGTTGTTAAGGCGTACATAGCTCTTGAACCGCGACTCAAATGCAGTTGAGGTACATTGACTACATTAAATGGGGAGAAACAAGTCAGTTGCAGTAAACTGACTACAATATCCACCAATATAAGAGCGTTTTTCTCATCCTTAAGTACTTTTACAGTGGCATGCTCACATAATTACATGAATTATGGGAGGTGGTTGTGTATTTGCTGCCAGAGCCTGCTCAGTTCTGTCCCCCATTGAAGGTGGTGATGTGTGATATGTATTTACTTCGGAGCCAACATACTGTAAGACAACTTGGCAATGACAATGAGGCATATATGCACTATTGTATGAATAATATGGAGTCAATCCATGTTTGTCCAGTGAAGTACTGGTATAATGTGCAAACAGTCCATGTCAGTCCTGTTTAGAACTGTTACAAGGTGGAGTCAATTCAAGCTATTCTAGTATAGCGTTATTCTAGTACATAATTAAGTGAGGTCAATCAAATTTATATCACTGGTACAATGTACAGTCAATCCATGGTAGTGTAGTTCAATGTAGTACAAGTACAAGTACTAATACAAAATGTCAATGCCATTCCTGCATAGCCCCGATACAATCGTGTCAAACCCCGCTGGTCCAGTATATTACCGGTTCAATGAGAAGTTAATTTATACAAACAATTGTACTAATGTGGCTCTGTTCATGGGACCTGCATACACCTTTTAAAACACTTTTTAGTGAATATTACAATAGTTTTACCTACCAGTCTGTTCACCATGCTCGCAGATCACCCTCTTGAGATGTTCAACAGGATCTATTCGGATTGATCTAATTCTTGTTGGTAATCTAAGGCACCTACCAGGCTGTCGTAAAACCTGTATTTGTAGCATGGTGTCAGTAAACGATACCCAGTTACCATTCCATGCAAGCATTCCTTGGTTACCTGTTAATCATCAACATTATTCATCATATACGAGAATGCAAGGTAATTGAAAATATACTTGTAACCAGAAAAAATAATGTAAAGTTAGTATTAATTTGTTAGCTGGTTAATCGGAAACTGAGGTCTTTTTTTGAAAAAAATAGCATAAATGAAACGGATGTGCTTACCAGAATTATCAGCCCGGACTATTCCTTGGAAAGTTGCTCCATAATCATATCCTCGAAGCCTGAGTTCTTTGTAAACATCACTAGCGAACAACTCCAATAATCCAGTATCTACTTTGTCCTCCAAGGCATCGATGATTTGTAATGGCTCATCTGGGATTTCTATTTTGCCAGATACACATAACTGATGACTTTCAGAAACTTCAAATATCCCGGTAGTCGGTGCTATACATACTTCTAGAGTCACTTCTCCTATAAAACAAACATTGAGTAACTGTTAACATATTTTTCTAACCAACTTCTGGCATATCAGCTTATAGTGTGGTACGTATGCTGATTGATCAATATGGTAAGCAGAATTCCTAACTCACCTTTGAACTTTGAATTATAAACCTACCTTGACTTGGCAAAATTGTAGCTCTATGTATGGTGACATCTTCAAAGACCACTGAAATATGTTGATATGGTAACCCACGTATTTTAGCCAAAGTTTTCCATACAAGAAGAATGTATCCTGTGGCTGGGTATAACACTCTTCCATCAATGCAGTGATCACGCAGATAATGGTCTTCTGATGATGGTGATGAATCTAATGAAAAGGAAAGACACAATCATGATGCTTATCAAGCAGCTTGCTGGCTGGTATAGCTACACTGTTCCATAGTCAGAAGGCACTCTTACTGGATTGAGAATATTGAGGAAATCAACAAATATTCTAGATCTTCAACCTAGATATATAAAATATCCGAGCAGTTACGCTACCAGTTCTTTACAGTTGACGATGTAATCCTGTTAAAACTTTTAATAATGTTCCCATGAACATACATAAAATGAAGAATCATCAAAATGTATTGCATTCAGAAGGCTAACAATTTTCAGAAGATGTTGAAAATAACAGATACTACAGAATATCACATTTAGTCACTAACTAGTGGGAAATATCACTAGCTAGTGGGACAATAAAACTACTATAACTAATTAGTGGAGCAACAAAACAAATGATAGCTGAGTTAATATCTGAATTGTAATCTGTCAGTGTTGATTTATGCTATAATTTTTAGTATGTTCTATCTTACATTAGGCGATTAATGAATGTCATATTTTCAAGTAAATAAATTCTGTAAATCGAAAAAAAAGAAAGTGTCGGAGACAAAAAATATGTCAAGTACTGCTACCACGTTAAGGCAGTTCAAGTGAAATTCAGAACTGATTATGATAGTTTACAGATGTGAAGTGTATTATGGGAGTTTTCATTTTATACAATAGAAAGCTATTAGGACATTTGAAACTCGCTGAATAGACAATTTTCCGGTCATTGCGAGATCCCATGTTTGCATAAATTCAAACGTAAAAGTAAGACAAAGAAAGGTATTAGTGTCGCGATGAAGTCAACCATTGCATGGGATTCGACAAACGCGAAGGTATTGTATTTGCACGCTTAGTATTGTTTTAAGTGTAATATAACATAATATAATATAATGCCATATGATACATAATTGCATATCTTTCTTTTCTGAATATATGAATCTATGCCTTATGTTTAGCCTGTACCTCTACTGCGGAAGCAAGCCAATGCCCGGCGCGAGAACATGGCTGACCACAAACATGGCGATTTCAATTCCCCCTTCTCCCAAAGACATCGTTAACAACGTCTCTCATGTTTTTAGTCAGTCACACCCCGAGCCCGACAGCGCCCCACCAACCGCGGACTCGGAAATAACACCGGGAAAACAGTCTGATACCACACAATAAAATTTGAATTTTATACTATACACAATGCAAGAGATATATACATATACACCCATGTGTGCACTCTATTTTTACATTGTTACTTGTTTAAATACATTTAATAATTTCTTTTAAAACTTCTGTATTTTATAGTTAATATGATATAACTCGTCCACAAAGTATCTTTGAATATTCTTTACTCTTGCCTTGTATATTGCATCAGCTACTGATATAATAAGATTAAATAGATCTGACTCAAGCCAATCTTTTTCAAATCCAAGAATGATATGTCTAAACTCCATGGTATATTTTGTTTTTATAATACGGTTCCACAATTATACAATTGAACACCAAAAACGTGTTACTATGTTACAATCGGAAATAAAATGTTTACAATTGTCTGCTTCACAACATTAAACATACGTTGCTTTACTAGAGATTTTCCACTTTCACAAGTTATGAGGATGTGGAATCTTGTTGTACAGCCACATGTAATTACAGTTTGCAATTCCCTTGCATGGCATCTGCTTTTGACCAGTTTTTATTAAATATCACATGTTTCTCACTGATTACAGAAGCATTTTTGTTGTTGCTTGCATTTGTATTTGTTTTCATAATGTCATACCTTTGTAAGGGAATTGCCCTTTTTAATTCACTGTATTGTGTAATCAATTCCCTTTAATTTGTAAGTTTACATGTGTATAAAGTCAGTATCTTGAAATACTTCATTAATACAAATGAGTCCAGAACTGATCCTCTCTTCATAAAATCATGTTTTTTATGTATTAATTACCCCACAGTATTTATTTGCTAATCGTTTCAAAGCTTTGTTCTAAATGTTCAGTTTTCTCATTTAATTCTTACCAACTGTTCAATATTTCCCGAACAAAAATTCTGGTAGAGTTTGTGTTATGTAATTCAGAACCGACTTATCTAAATCAGCTCAGCAATAGTAGCACACGTTTTGTTTCTCCCTCCACTAAACCTATCTATTCAATTACAATGCAGTGCTTTTATCAATGCCTCGACATCCACCATTTGTAATCCCCCGTTTTCAAAATTGCTGATTACTATTTGCCTTTTTATGTGTTGAATGTTGAACGTTTTTGAAATGTGTTTGGGCGTAACTATCATTGATGCAGTATATGTAATTAATGACATTATGACACTTTTTTAGCACTGTAATTTTACCAAAGACTGAGAAGAAAGTTTTTTGTCCAACGCTTACTCTTGTGCTGTACACATTAGATGACAGTCAATTTTGATGAAGGGTATCAACGCAATATTCCATTTTTCAAATCGACATTTTGACATTGAGCTATGAATCAAAAAATTGAAATTATGAATCAAACTGATCTCACAGTAAACGAATGTATGTCAATCAAAAGTTAATATGAATAATTATGGAACTTTTTCATCTCGTGTCACAGAGCAAAATGTCAAATAATTTCAAAATAGAAACGATGTTGCCATGCATTATTAAAGATAAAGACTAGTTAGCACTAATTGTATTTCATGATGTATGGGATAAGATCTTACCAATTATGTACGAGACCACTACATTACTCTGCCCAATTCCCGTAGAGAAATCTTTGGCTTCCGGGACATGCCATTGCTGTGAGTGGTCCCAATGAATCAATGGAGCGATGGATGGCGTATTTCTTATAACCGGATACGGGACTTCTGGGAATAGTTTGTTGATGTTTAATGTCATTCCATTGAGATAACATTTTCCAATGTTAGACAAGAAAAATTCAAGATTGTTTTGATAGTTGCGCTTCATGAGACCTATGATAGCACTGCTTGGACTGAGAGAGCGCTTCAGAACAGCTTGCAGCAGGCAATGTGAGGAAACTTCAATTGTGATAGCATTGGATGGTATATGGGACAAGGCTTCTTTAAATAACACAGGATTGACCAGATTATTTACATGGTAGTCAGCTGAGCTATACTTGGCTAGTTTGGTGTTCCATTTGTCTTGCGGAATGGAGGAACAGATCCATCGTGATGATCTCTGACGAGGGTTATTGATTACCTACAATAAAATATACAAAACCACAACATGAATAATCGAATGTAACAAAGCTGTATTGCAATCATTCTATAATGGAATCCAAGGCAAGTTAATGATTAATGAATAATATCATTTTACCAGGCCCAGTCCAACACATGCATCTGTTGACCTTACAGGCATACCATTAATGTTGATATGGGTTGTATGCATGGTATAGGCCGCAACACTGTTTAATATTTTGTTTTGTGCTTGCTGAATCCATGTGAATAACTAGTAACAAATGCCACCCACTTTTTGTATTAACTGGGACACATACATATGAATATGTGAATTATATAACAGTATAAATAAACTTATTACTTTCGTTAAAGCATTTTTCAAAGTTGGTGCAACCTTGGTCATGTAGTTGGAGTGGAATGCAACATTTGAACTGTATATTTCTTTAGCAAATATGCCTCGCTGTTTCAGATCACTAACAAAGTCGGCAACTTTAGATTTTGGTCCTGATATTGTGACAGTGTCTTCTGCATTATGACATGCAGCAACCACGTCATCAGGACACATCAATTTAGCTTCTTCCCATGACAAACCTAAAACAACAAACAAAAACAAATACATGCATTATATATTCCAAGACATGTTGGGAGCGCCACAACTAAAATAGGTTAATAGAAATAGATGTATAGTTTAGCAATTGCCTTACAATAAACAAAAGAAAAAAACGATGGGTTATTTGTCTGGCCTGGAAAGATAACTTACCAACAGCAGCCATGCCACCAGCAGGTAGTGCAGCATCAATCACACACTTGCCTCTCCAGTAAGCAGCAAGAACAGTCTCTTCAGCAGTAAGGCAGCCATCAGCATAACCGCAACCTAACTCGCCAATTGAATGTCCAATAATACCATCAGGTTCCACACCCATGGACTTTAGGAGGTCTATCAAACCGACCTGAAAATGGCAAATGCTTGTGTCATCTTGACAAAATAAGTTTCTTCAACAAACTGTTATTTCACTTTTCTGTATTATTCCTAGTGCTTCGCAGCAGATGGCGATAAAATGACGGATTATTTTTGATAATTTCTGGAAATTACAAATATATTTACCTGTTGCAATAGAAGTTGATGAGTTGTAAGGCAAGGATGTTGAAAGATAGAATAAAGCAGCATTGGGTATATTTTGAACTAGAAATGTGAGTGTGAAGGTTAATGGGCCTTGTAACCTTCACCGACAGGAAAATAAACATTCCCTTTGCAAATCAGGTGACATCTATTTAAAAACAGTTCTTGAAGCTCATCAATAACTATTTTAGGTGGACACAAGGATACCTTATCTATCAGTTTCGAGACAATAATGAGAGATATTTCCAATATATGTACCTAGAACATGTAGACCTTCATTATTCCAGCTGATACTCAGTGGTGTATATGTGACCAATCCACTATCCTTGAGATTTAGGTTCATTCACGCATTACTTGCATTTTCATATACTCGCCACGCCAACCATTGACTCAATTAGTGAAAGTCACTATTTCTCATTATGAAGAAAGTAATGTCACCAGCTTACATATGTTGTAAGATGAATTCGTTGCCATCCGAGTTTTGTGTTGTAATCGTATTTGAATTTGATCTTTATTTTATATAGGAGTGGTTCTATGACAATGGTGTACAGCTGACGAGACAGAGAACATTCTTCTTTCTCATTCTATTCACCCATACCAGACTTGTGTCAGAATAGATTAACTGAATGTATTTAATAATATTACAACAAAAACAAAATGACTGTAATGATTTGAATAAAAAATCTTGGTGAACACCGTTATGCCTTGTGAATGCAGCAATCTGGTAAAGACGACTAGACAATAAAGGTACAATGTACTTAGACGGACGCCATGTTCATTTAACAACCTTGCATGATTGGTAATTTGTAATACATGAACTTTGACCTAGTATGTAACACAGGCGTGTATATACCAATAAACGCGATCAAAGCCCATTTCGTGTTTATTGGTAATATTTTAATACAAAATTACATCACGCACATTATTAATACTGTCAAATATTTTTCTACCGTGTCAGCAGTATATTTCAGAAAGTACATGTTTTTGTCTGAGTGAGATCATTTTAGTTAATATTTTATAGACCATAGAAGCCTGACTTGCCGCCCATTTTTGCGAAGCAGTGCGACAGGGCAAGGAGAGAAATCCATCAAAATACATTTAAACATATTTTGACATAAAACAGACCATAAATGTTTATAGAATTCGCCTGGGAGATTTGCGACACCAGGCGACCAGTTGATAATATTGTGACGTATTTTGATAGTTCGTCAACAGTTATTAGGGCGTCAACATTTGTTTTGTATTGTCAAACAGTTCAGGGAGATATTATAGTATGGTATCATGTGCCTCATATGAGACAAGATCTAGTGAAATCACGTTAGAATAACAGTTTTCAAGCAAAATCCTTATACTAGCAGGCGAATCTGTGATTGGGTCTTTCGGGTGACATCATTTTTTGCAAACATTATGTTTTTCAACATTAAACAAAAAACGAGGCGCATCATTCCCATTAAACAGCTTGTGTCTAGCTCTAATTGCAGCCCCTTTAGATTCACTTTTCACAATTCGTTGAATAATGTTTATTTTTGATGGGGTACTGTGAATATTATTTTCTAAGTCAGTTCCTGCGAAAGCTCATGTGTTATAGGTATGACATTGTTGTGTAATCACAGATATAGAAATTGAAAAACATGTAATTTCTATTTCTCACCTGAATTGCTATAATTCCTACACATGATTTGACCACGTCTTTGTACGTATTTTCATCACTGTTCATTATCATATCATACACATTGATGTTTGTGTCTTTTAATGCCTCTGTACATTTCAAGATAGATTCCTTATATGTGTTTAGTTTCATCAAGTCTTGACCCATGCCTTGCCATTGTGTACCCATACCAGAAAATATATACCTAATACAGCAATATACAAAATTAAATATTGATAGTTACTATTGAAACTCCACGCATAACCAAGAAAACATTTTTAATGCATTCCCCCCTCCATTACACTGTCAGTAATTTCACTGAATAAACACAGAAACAAACCATATGTTCTAAAAATAGCACTGAAGCACTCGTCCATTGTTTTAAACTCAATAGTCAAAAATTAGAACAATGAAACTTGGTTGGCATGCATGGTGAGTTCAATAAAACCAGAACACGCACATACATACATGACACTGACCTCCCTACCCACTCGATTGATATCGCCTCTGATTATTTTGTTTGTAATAAATAACACAATATACAAGTTCAAATGGTTTAAGATCATAGAGGTGACATTGCTAGTGGACATGAGCTTGTCGCAAGGGACAGTCAAACTGAATAAGTAACACCGAACAAGTGTTTGAATTGTTTGAATAATGTTAAGGCGCGTGGTCAATGCCATTAATCGTATTCCGTGTTCCGCATTTTTATGTTCATAATATACTAATTTATCTTACCATATTGGTCTAGTCTCATAGTTTATTATCTGCTGTGTTTCTTGTATTTTATTCTCACTGTTTACAATCTTGTATCCCCTGTATGTAAATCCTGTTGCAGGCTGGTTGCAAATATTATTCATCAATGAGACAAAATCTGGCATTTTCGCATACTCCTCAACTTGGGACAGTAAATTATCCAAACCCTCCATAGTTCGGGCACAACAGTGTAACAGTCTAACATCGCTTTTTGGAATGTGTGACGATCTTTTGCTATTTGGTTTAAGAATCAAATGAACATTGGAACCACCAAAACCGAATGAATTAATCCCAACCAAACCATCTGGTAATTCCATAGGTTCATCTACTACTTTAATTCTACCATCATGTAGTCCCGGTATATCAAGGTTGGCATTATTGAAATGTAGATTTGGTGGAATGATTCCCTTTTCCATGGCTAGAATTATTTTGGTAACAGCAGCAAGTCCAGCAGCGGGTTCCGGGTGACCCATGTTTGATTTAACAGAACCAACAAGTAGAGGGTTGTCTTTGTTTCTATTTTTACCAAAGACATCAACAATAGCATTGATTTCTTGTGGGTCACCGACCTTTGTACCTGTTCCATGAGCTTCAACATATGCAACATCTTTTGGGTCAATGCCTGCTTCTTTGTAAACTCTGTGTATAAGTTTTTTCTGTTCATTTCCCGACGGAAACGTAACACCTGAAAAAGTAATGAATTTTTCTAATATATTCATGTTGATGTTATCATGGCTGGCATAAATTAAAAGAACCGTATTATATCAGTTAGTGTTATGCACAACTGCGTCATTCAAGAGTGATTTGTTATATGATTAATTGTCAGTTAAGTTGTCATTGCTCAGATGTCAGTGGCTACAGTCTATTTATCTGAGTTGTATTTGGTTACAATTTAAAACATAACAGGTGAACACATATATATTGAATGTATACAAATTCACCTTGTTCTTTATATCCGTCATTGTTAGTTCCACCGTGGATTACAGTCGAATATACTCTCTTAGCATTAGAGGACCTCATCATTAGCATTGAAACACAGCCTTCAGATCTACAATAGCCATTGCCTGAAATTAAATTGTAAACATGTTATCCCTATGCACAGACTAAAGTTGGGCCATTTTATCATTTTTTATTTTTTCCGTATATTGAGTTACCATATATTTCCCAACATGTTCAATCCCACGCCCAGTTGAGAGGAGAGTAAGTGCAGCCCATAACCCTTCTGATTATTGAAGATTTGTTTCTGATTATTGAAGATTTGAAGTTTTATGCCCGATTATAAATTTGAACCAGTGAACTGAAATACTGTTTTCGAACAACAATTTGACGTCATCAGCATAATTAGTAAGTTTACAGTGCTGTTTATGACTGTATGGTATGACCAATCCTTCAACATCTTTCCGATGTTATGGAATAGAGATTCAATGCCTATAACGTAGAGGGCAGTGGATATTTCCTTTCCAAATACCCCGAGCCACTGTGTTGGGGAAGTGAGGCTGCAAGTAACGCGAACCCGAGACTGGGCATGAGAATAAATGAGGCGAATGCTGGAAATGAACCAGTCACAAAAACTAAATGCAAAAAGCGTGTTAGAGATATCTATGATTTATTTTATCAAATTCCTTTTCTTGGTCTAGGGCAAGAATGAGCAGAAGACAGCTGATTGGCATAGCCAATGCTGTTATGTGGGAAATTCAAATATAATATTATTTTGAGCATAAATGCCAATGGCATCAGGTGTGTACAGGTTAATGTAAAAATTGTGTAGAATTTTGAGTTTGATTTTCATAAAAAGTGTTATCTTGACGTCTGAGATAAAATATCGCATTTGTATTGCCATTATTTTTCTCTAATTGAAACAAAGTTAGAGACATCACACGTGGCAAGACCAGTGTGTTCGTGTTTAACGAGACGTGCAAGTAGTTCTTTTTTTCAGTAGCTGAGTGGTGCATGTAGGTAGTAGTGCGTGCGTTCAGTTCCAAAATGTTTTTATTGTTATTTTAGTATCGTATTGTATTGTATAACAATCACCTTGTTCGTCAAATGACTTGCACTGTCCCTCGGGGGACAGCATACCAAGCTTCATAAACTGCACTGATGTATTGGGTTTGACATTTATATTAACACCAGCTACAATGGCGGCATCACACTGACCACTGCGGATAGCTCTCAATGCATGTTCCATTGCAAGTAAACTGGATGAGCATGCTGTATTTAGCAGATAACTTGGCCCTGTACAAGAAAACTGCATAGATCAAAATATTGACTAACAGAGTTCATTCACAAATGGTCGCCGCTATCATATTATGAGCAAGGCAGCAAAATGATTTATTTTCTACCGCCATTGCGTGTAATGTACATTGATGGTAGCAGGAATATGAAGGGATACACTTGCGTCACCCGCTCTCATATGACTGAAGACTGAATGAGTGCAAGAAATCAACACACAATAATTTCCAGAAATTAACTTGAAATATGTTAGGCTAGAGTCAAAGAATACATCTATTTTCAGAAATATATAATCTCTTGCAGCTATTCCGCTTATGCTCACAAAAAATGTTAAATTAACTAGTAAACTACCAAAGTATTTAGCGTCTGAAAGCAACGTCTGTGTGCTGCTTGTTGAAATCTGATCAGGGACATATTCTACATTTGAATTAAATTTGCATGCAAGTCATATGACAGTAACATTTGTTACTCTAAAGAAAAACGTTTACATCCTGTGATATAAATGAGATATCTTTGTTATCAGAAATATGTATTGATTTAATATTCACCCTTGAAGTCAAAGAAATAAGATATTCTATTAGCAAACATAGCGGGACAACAACCAGTCATGCTGTATCCAAGTGATGCCTCGGCGTCACTGGTGAGTGCTTCAAATGTTTCCGAGCCGTTAGAACCAACAAATACACCAGTATTGGTGCCTCTCAATATCTGGGGATCAATACCTGACACAAATAAAACAAAACTTTGTCATTAGGAATCAAATGTATTACGTCCAAAAGACAAATGAATATGGTTGATTGTCTGTGAGGGTAGTAAACATACCTGCATCCACTATTGCTTCGTAAGTTAACTCCATGAGTATTCTCAGCTGCGGGTCCATGGTGTTTGCTTGTTTTGGATGAACACCAAAAAAGGAAGCATCAAATCTGCTTAGATCTTTAATTTTGCCACTTTTCCTTGGTAATCCATGGATACCTGAAATGTAACACAGAAATCATCACTCATTACCTTACTTATACTTCATATTGTTTACAGCGAACCCCGAACATTGCGATGGACATTTTATGATCAGTTCATTTCGGATCTTGGTGTAGCTTTCTTTTTGAATATCGACGACTGATGAAAAATCCAGACACATAAATTCAGTACTAGTATCACACACACTTCCTTGGATAATAGTCTGCCAAAATAAATTACATATATATATAATTAGTTTTGAGCGTATTTGAAAAAAAAAACACAAAAATAAAACACTTCACAAAGTACCGCATCATATTTTATAGAAACTTTAAGCCAGAAAGTGATCTAATTCCTCGCTAAATCAAAACTAAATAAGTTTACAATAGAAAGAATGTGTGTGAGATATCGCATGACTACCGCGGTAGGAATACACATACGCAACGAGAGGGTGTCCTGCTGTTATAGAGAAATAACTCTTACAACACAATAGAACCTTCCAAAACCTGTGTAATGAAGCAAGTGGGCGATAACAGCACTGAGTTTTAAAATGGTATAGCCCCCCCACACACACACACACACTGATACGTAGATTTTGTGGAATTCGTCATCCGCACCTGGGTTCATCTTAGTTTTATACAACCAATCAAGCCACGAACATTTGGTAATCACAATATTGAAGTTCTTTGATTGGCTACGTAAACTAATAGAAGCAACGCAGGCAGCTGAATATTTGAATCAGCTCGGGTTTGATAATGTCGATATTGAACCAGGTCCTGGTCCACAAGGAAGTATTTTCTCACTTCAGTGACTACACTTTACTGATTTATCATATCTTTGTATTAAAAAAAGCAAACTTGACTTTACATGCAACTTGTTTTATCGTATTGCAGGAAATCCAGAGTGGATGCTTTCGCGACCCAGTGTCGGATTCTGCTGTACGGGCCGTCGCTAAGAATTCAATTCCAAAAAACACAAGGCGACTTAACGTGTGGGCTATGCGTACTTTTAATGAATGGGCATGATACGAAATAACACCCGACTGGAATTAACGACTGATGAATAGGTGAAAATTTGTGACTGTATCGAAGTAATGCCCGTCGTGGACTTGACTCATTGGTTAAGTAAATTCGTTCTGGGGGTGCGCAGAGTGGATGGAAATTGTTATCCTCCAAAAACATTGTTATTTTTGATCATGGCAAAGCTACATTTGTTCTGAGCTGCAAACGCCTCTAAATGGTCTAAGTGATAAAGAATTCCAAGGTTTTTGTCGATTCAGAAATGAAAATATTGTCCAGTTTGGGATTGGGATCAAAAACAAAGCTGAGGTGATTACCAAACCGCGTGACTGTGGAAAATGAAGCTGCTAGGAGACTATTCTCTCCGGGTTCTTGTTATCGCTATGGTATTTCTAAATGGCAAACACTTTGCCCTCAGAAGCGGAATGGAACATCGAGCTCTACGTTTTGACCCACCCCAAATCACTTTACACGAGTTATTAGATGAAACGCCATATTTGAAGTATGTGGAAGACGTGTCGAAAAGCAATTAAGGTGGAGTAAGATGAAAGTAGGTAATGCATTATTCAAATGCTGAAAACCCCCACCAATGCCATAATAGAATGTACAAGAAGTACACATCACTCTGCCCACCCGAGGACACCGCTCAGTAGCAGGTAATCAAACTTGAACATTATTAATATATTGATATCACTGTAAACTGACTTAACTAAAAAAAGTAGCAAATCATGTTATTACTGATTGATTTTTCAAAGAATTTTAAATGAATGCATGATCACATGAAAAACTTAATTAAGTTTAAATTATCTTGACAATGTTGTTTTTTTAATCTACAGGTGTTCTTATTTATAAACGCACAACACAGAACCAGGAGGAGAAGGTAAGCGATATTTTGAATGGTACCGCAGCTGCTACAACCTCCAAGCAAGTAAACGTCGACCTTGATGAATCTTCCGACACGTCATCTCCTGCGGATGTTGGAATCCATAAACTATAAACAAGCAAGACGCTGGAGCTAGAATTGTTTACAACAATTGCGTGTTTACTATTACCGGAAATATCTGACCAATTATAGCAGTATAATGTGTCAACATAATATTTGATTGAAAACAATAAATGTGCAACAAACTTTTAACCTGTTTGTGTAATTTATTCGGAGGTAGGTCGTGATATCATATCTCGGCTTCGCCACGGGATGATATCATGAAAGTACCAACGGAGTGTAATTTTGAGGCATTATATCGAAAATTACACTAAACGAAGTCGAGTCGATATTATGCCGAGAGTATGGCGGGTCTATAATGTCGCCCATTCCCTTCAAATATCGCCTGAGTTGGAGGTTGTTATTAAAAAAATAAATTTAAAGTCTATTGCTATTTTGCGTATGAGATGTGTATAAATAAAATACCTGGTTCCCATCTTCTGTTATCTTCAGTTACCATGTCATCTTTGTTGATGAGATGTTGCCAGAATTCCTCCAAATTATCAGATTCTGGCAACCTGCATCCTATACCGCTAATGACAACGTCGTCCACAACTGTTTCCATTATTGGGAAATAGCTTCGTTAAAATATCGGTCAGGTTGACAAACTAAAACAAAATTGAATACAATTATAAAAAAAGCTGCATAAATTTTGAGATGACTTGCCAATAACACAGTTTTTTAAATATAATTACTATACCATAGCAGCAAAATCTGGTGGTTTGAATGACCAAGGTCATATATGCAATTCTATTTAAGACAACAAAAAATATAATCTATAGATATGCAATTTATATTACCTAACACGTTTTATTTATCATACATATTGTAATGCTATTTGTAATTGTGTCACGTATACATATCAACCTAAGGCTCGTAGTACCATGGCCGAACACAATGTTTAACATCACATTCAGAAGTGATGTGTTTTCTGATTGGCTGAGACAGTCATGCATATTTAATGAGTTGTTGTACACTTGTTGTACGTCAACAGTAAGACTGTCCTAGTGAATATAAATCTGTCTCCAAAAGTTTAAAACAAAGGATTTAGTTGTTTTGTCTCGGTTTCTTGGTATTTAATTTGATTACTGTGAGGACACCATAAAGATGAAACAAACAAAATAAGTGAAACATTTGCTAGACAAATTTGACATGGGTCATTGTAATCTCAAGCCCACACCATGTGCTATGAGAGCTTGTAAAGCTATACATGAGTAGTCGGCTCTATTATCGAATGATAAATTTTACAGGGTGATTGTTGGAAGTTTAATGATTGCAACTAGACCCGATATTTCATACTCCCTAACACATTTTGTAAATACATTTTACAAGTAAACTCTAAAGCCAGTAACTTGACATGTATTTTAGGTAGACACTCTATTTTACTTACTAGTATGAAACAGATTTTAAAATGTTGGCTAGAAAATAAAAACAAAGAATGAAAACACTGGTCAATGAAGCATACAGACTCGGCTTGGAGATGGTCGGTAAAGGGACACTTAATTGGTATGAAAATATGTTGCACTATTTAGAAAATAATAAGTAACGACAATCTAATCAGCATATAATTTACAAGAAACTGAAACAAAATTATTCAATCATAGAAAGCTTAGAAAGAAGTCCCGTGTGCTGAGAGTATTGGAGACACATTACAAATTAATTCAAAGTTACTTGAGCTTGAGATATTGAGGGAAAAGCTGAAAACTAATGATGCAAATAAGGTAACTAATATGAACAGATTTAAGTGTAAAACTAATAAGGTTTGCACAATGTAAAAGTAATATTATCTACGTAATGTAATATCTATGTACCAAGTTTCATTGAAATGTTATTAAAATTATGAATTATTATGCTAATTAGAGAATAAATATGAACAGATTTAACACAAAATTAATCAGGCCGTCTATTGTCCTAGAGCATTTATGTGCCATGTTGTATTCAAATGTGATGATCAGTACTTGAGATATCAGTGTTAATCAATTATGTTAATAAATAAATATTTTACCCAAACTAATATGGTGTATAGTCCTAGGTTCATTGAAATGTGATGATGAGTACTCTTTAAAAGTTTCATTAAAATCCAATGAGTGGTTCTTTAGATATCAGAAGAACAGTCATGGAACAGAAAAAAATTAACTAATTATGCAAATTAAGTAACTAATATGCACAATTATTTACAAAATTAATCAGGTCTCTGCATAGTCCTAGAAAATATATGTCACAAGTCTTATTGAACTGTGATGATTCGTAGTTGAGATATCAGGTGAAAATTAACTAATTATGCTGATAAGGTGAATAATATTTACAAATATTTACCCGAAAAACTAATTAGGTCTCTGCACAGTCCTCAAGTAACTATGTACCAAGTTTCATTGAAATGTTATCACTACTACTTGAAATATCAAAAACTGAAAATTAATTAATTATGCAAATTAGGTAATTAATATATACTGATATTACCCTAAAAACTATCAGGTCTGTGCAGTATCATATTACATCTATGTACCAAGTTTTATTGAAATGTTATGATTAGTACTTGAGATATCTGTGAAAAATTATGCAAATTAGGTAATTAATAAAAACAGATTTTTACCCAAAACTAGCCAAGTTTCATTAAAATCAAATGAGTGGTTCTTCAGATATCAGTGGAAGTTATGGAACAGATTAAAATCAGCTAATTATCATGTGAATTAGGTAATTAATATTCATGGTTTTTACCAAAACTAATCAAATCTACGCATTAGTTCATCGCATCCATGTGCCAAGTTTCATCTGTCAATGTATCTGACAACATAATTGACAAATATATAAATAGTCATATCTGCACAGAAACTTAAACAAACTAGTTGTCACGAGCACTGTGTCAGGAAATTTACTCGATTTATTTCGTTGTTCTCTATTTTATAGATACAAGTCAAGTAGAAAGTTCAAAAACACTCGCAACATTTTTCATGACAAGCACTCCAGGCACTACGTGATGAGAACAGCTTTAGCTGCCTCAAACTTGAACGATAATACCGAGCTTCCGGCAGAAATATTTCAAGAAAAATACGTGGAACTTAATAGAACTGTCGACAGAGTGCATGGTGTATGATGGATGATCAATGTCATGCAATAGACGCGACCCGTGGATAATTATAATAGAAAAAACTAGGCGCAACATAGCGGAGATGGACGGCACGGTAAATTTAGTAACCGTGTCATGGTAAAAAAAGGAAATAGTTTCATATTCCACAATGCTAACTCGGAATATTGCGGAAATAAAAAGTATTTCATTGTTACGAGGTCATATGGACGGGTCAGATATTAACCCAAAACACAAAATAATATTCAATATTGTTACCATATTGTTATTGTGCGAATTCTTAACCAAGAAGAAAATACACAATTCGTATTTAACCGGAATAATTTAGATTGATAGACGGTATAGTTCATAATAATGATATGTTTGTATAGATTTCGCCTCCAGTATGATCGCCAGCTTCTGCAATGGTTCATCATTAAACGTAGCCTACCACTCATCAACGCAAATATCCGGTTGATAAGAGTCGCTGGTTGCACAATTATGCACTGCAGGCACCATATCAAAAGGGAGTAACGACATTTCCTACTCGTCACATATACCAATGATATACACCTATAATCTATTACATAAATAAACTGGCCATGAAAATAACAATGTTATAAATTAACAACATAATATAATAACTCAAAGCCTAGGACTAACTATTGTGTGTGTGTAGAAATGCTGGTATCTAGCCAACAGGACCACGCTGTCCCAGTTTTTAAATACCAAACGTCACCGAGATAACTGTGCCACTCGTAAATTGGCTCAGGACATCTGTTTATTCATTACACGGATACTCGTGCAGTTTTGTCCAGGGGTGACGTTTGGCTCACATAACACGACGTACCTTTTGTACGTGCAGTGTATACTTCTGTGGGCTATTATCAATTAATACTATGACAAGGAATACATAATGACATCTCTTGTGTTTAACGCGTAATACATTACAATAATTAAATGTCTCTTTTAAACAATACATATTTCGATTCTTATAACACGATCCAGACACCTCTTGACATCTTATCCAAATCTAGGTCAAAAAGTCAACTTGAGTGAATATAATAATAACAGAAAATACAGGTTAGTAATAATTGGGGTGACTTCAGAAAACTGAATTTTCTGAATGTTTTAATTTATAAACCGACGATAGCTTCACATTCATGTCCTACCATGGCAACCATATTTTTTAGCAGAGCAGATCGCAGAGCAGATCGCACATCAGCCTGCCGGATTGTTACACGAGCATTAGTGGCATGGGATGTGCTAAAGATATACCATGTCGTGAGTAAAACACTAAAATATGTATTCAAAAAGACGTCCCTTACGTTTATTATCGCATTCCATACTTAGACACCCGGAATGCATTATTCGATTCATATAAGTATCACGGGGTAAAATCTCTCTCTCGGGGTTCTCCACACTGTCAGGGGGAATCTCGTCTCGTCTCTATATCGTCCCCTTGAGGTACGGGATCGGGAAAGTCACTTTAACTTTACAGTCAAATAAGACACACACAACGAAATACGTTTCAGCTCTCGTCTTAGTCGATCTTTTGGAGCACTCTATAAGACACAGCGCCCTGGGGAAAAGTCCCCAAGACTCTCTTAAGGCTGACCCAAGACTAGCCCAAGACTGGACTGCGTCAAGGCTCGCCCCAAGACTCTCTCGGACTCGACTCGACTGGACTGCCGTCTCTCTCTCTACTGCGTCTATCGTGCTGTGTTCGTCAAGACCAACTCAAACTCTCTTTATTCATTTTCAAAACTCTAACCAATTCCAATGCAGTAAAAAGACTCTAGGGCGTAACCTTCAATCATAAAGCCAATCACACTAAGTACTGAATACGTCATATCTTTTGATTAATCGTTCACTACATTAATAACTACGGATGTCAGAATAGCGACGGTATCTTGTAATTAGTTCTAAACCACTGAGCCAAGTTCCGTCCAAAACTTCAAATAGGCCTACACGATGACAGACATAACACAGCAATTCAGCTAATAATCAACTAATTAAGTCGGTTAACAGATACGCGAAAACAAATTCATGACATAAGCAAGCACACATGTTTAATGATGGTGATACAGTGACTACAGCTAGGACTTCTAATTCAGATCAATTTATACTCCCTAAAAGAGTTTCGCATTTCGAAAATGATCTGAGATACCAAATAACGTTCCGCAAAAAATGCTCACTGTAAACCAGTCTGCACACTCGTCCAATACACTGAGTATAAGGTATCACAAGTATACATACACGTCTTCCGATCCGATGATTTTGCTATGAATCTAACATAGTGTGCAGGGACTTTCGACTTACTTGGCAGATGACACTTGCACTGTAGAGATACCCGGTTCGACTAAAAAGAATTCACGTTAATTCATCACAGATAGTCCAGCTTTATTCCCCGAAACAGACAGGTGAAATTACGCATCGCTGCTCACTCTGCAATAGAACTCTGAGCGTGACAGAGTAAACATGCGATCGATCAAAGGCTC